GACCGATGCCAAAATTCGTTGGGTTTCAATCTTTGCTTGAGCCAATTGGATGTCTAGCCACACTACATGCGCGCGCGCACACACTATATATATATATATATATATATATATATATATATATACGCTCGTATTCGAGGATAGCTACTGCAGACAGGCACATTTGCTTAGTTTTACTCAATTTTACTGAGACTATGCTGAGCGTGTTATCTAGGCTAATCAACAATCTGAACAAGGTTTTCAGGTACTTTCCAGAGATGTTATGTCATCGGAATGGATCAGCCGCGATCCATTACGATAACATCAGGATGTCTCCTTCCTGAAAAATCGACCGTGTGATTCGAAGGTTCGAACCATTCGGCCAAGCGTCCATTTCGTGTGTGTATATATATATATATATATATATATATTACACAGAAATAGTTTTGAGAAAAGTGTTTACTTGGATCAAAGCATAGCATAGCTGTTATCGGTGCAAAAATCGTGTCGAGCTGAAATTCCAGCAGAGTTTGTTGCGTTCGCTTTCGCACAAATCTCCTTGTAAGTGAATGGAGTTTTCTAATGTCCACTCTCTACGTCGAGGCTTAATAACAAATGTAAAGTGCGTCCCTCCAGTTTTGCCTGGTATCTGATCTGTCAGAGGGACAACTCTGAATTCAAAACTGGTTTAGTGTGGTGATAGCAACTCCATACCGTAAAACATTGCTGCTACCGAAGACTCACCAACATCTTTCTTTGTCTGCTAGAATTTCACCCAGTAAAAGCCTCGAGAACCACTCAATGTAGGTGGTTACTGTTAAAAATAGCAATGATGGATGAGGTGTGTAATATGAAAGAACGAGGTGGTAGGAAGTGAAGATTGTGAGGATAGATAACTATTGAGCCTTGACTTGAAATTGTTAGGATTGTAGTCTCCAGCCTGGTGAGGCTGCGATCTTATGCTCTACGGAGTTAATATTTTATTATTTTAAACTGTATTTCATATTGTAAGAAAATCTACCCTACAAACACACTCTGAGAAAAGCACGGTTAAAAAACTCCACTATATTTCCCAAGTTATTATGGCAATTCGCAGAAAATAAAGAAAAGGAATCTGTGGAGAGCCATGATCGCCTACATACTGAAGGGACATGACATTTGCATTTCGCAGAAAATAAAGAAAAGGAATCTGTGGAGAGACATGTTCACCTACGTCATGAAATGATATAGAATGAATAAAACTTTATCGTTGGGGTTATGAGGCATATGCTAGTCTGAAAAGGGCATGGAAATTCACAGATATTAAAGAAAAAAAATCTGTGGAGAGTCATGATCACCTACGTCATGAAATGATATAGATTGAATAAAACCTTATCGTTGGGGGTTATGAGGCACATGCTAGTCTGAAAAGGGCATGGAAATTCACAGATAATAAAGAAAAGGAATCTGTGGAGAGTCATGATCACCTACGTCATGAAATGATATAGAATGAATAAAACCTTATCGTTGGGGTTATGAGGCTAGTCTGAAAAGGGCATGGCAATTCACAGATAAGAGGAATCTGTGGAGAGTCATGATCCCCGTCTTGACGGGGTATAGCGTTTTGGTTATGAAGCGTTTGGTAGTTTGAAAAGTGTATTTATATTGTAAGAAAAGCTGGTATTAGGACTGATGATGATAGATAAGTTCGTTCGAAGCTCAAGAAGTCAAGGACTGAAATTGTTTTCTGATTGATGGCTTGTCATTCAGTAAATTAAGATGTTTTTTTCTCTCTCTCTCTCTCTCTCTCTGACAAGATGATATATCGTTTTAAGTCTTTCGATCGACTTCACTAACAATCTGAGCCTTCAACAAATGGACAAACTCCTCCTAAAGTTCGTTCGTAAACCCAAGCCATAATAAGATAATAACGTAGCCACCTTATGCTGCACTCTAGAAAAATAAGTGGGATTGAAGTTTACGGTAGTGTATAGACAACTCAAAGGCAAGATGCAATGTGTTTATATAAACAGCGTTGTCAAGAAAATAAGGAATCAGAATTAATGGGTTGCCGAATAAGACAAATGATTTCGAAGCTGAAAAAAAAAACGTACCGGCGTAACAGTCTACTTTGCATCTTCGATCTACACTCAAACTTGTCTTTCTGCCGAACAAAGTAATATTAACTCCTTCCCCGTCGTAGACGTGTATATACGTCTTAAAAAAAAATACCGAAAGTGTCTTTTTATCAGACACGGACGAATAAACACGTCTAAAATATAACGTTCAAAAATCTGCTACAGAATCAAGATCCACGTATAAACACTTATACGGGGATCTTGATTCTTTTTTTTTGCCCTTCTAAGCTTGAAACTTGTCCATTTGTCAACTCGTACGCCTGGTAGGGGCATTAGCCGCAGCGCGGGAACTTCAAGGTTTCTTAGTTGCTATATTAAAAACAAATTTTAAAAAAAATTCGTCTAAAAATGAAACGTTTTTCCCAACGTAATTGGCCAGAAAGAGGTTAAAGATGTCTACCCAGCGATAAGGTGACAAAGAAACTAGCCTTGAAAGCTATTTTCTACTGTCATGAGTTCAATACCAATGGGGACCGCATTATTTGGGATTTTGTAGGATATACAGCGGCTATCAGAACGGAAAATGGAGTTCAAATTTCGCTCGAGTCGCTTGTGTTCACTTTCACACATTTGCCCCTTTAAAAAACAAAAAAGAATTATCTGTACTACAAAAATGACTATTTAAATAAAACATATATATATGTTCCATGGAATCTCACATAGGCATTACGGTGAGATTAAGCCAAATTTGTTGTTATACAGAGATTTTATATATATATATATATATATATATATATATATATATATAATTATTTTTTTTAAATTTATAACATAATTATGTTATAAAATCACTAAAAAATAGCCATTTTGTTTCAACACCCCTGAAACAAAATGGCTATTTTTGTAGTGATTTTATAACATATTTATGTTATAAATTTTTTTAAAAAAATAATTATATCTGCTCTACTTTGTATTGAGCACTCTCTTAAGAATAGTAATTGTTGGTTATTGGAATTCATTCCGTATATACCAATTATATACTTGGTTATATATATATATATATATATATATATATAAACAAGACGAAAGTAGAATTAAGAAAATTATTAAACAAAATTCATAAAATCAGTTGACAATAGCAAAAAAAATTTAGATTAATTATTTATTACAAAAAATTGAAAACCTCTAACCTTATAGTTAAAAATAATAATTCACCTCTTAGAACAAAATTAAATAGAGCAAATATTATTTACGAATTTAAATTCCCATTAAGGAATTGTATTCCCGATCAATCAAAATTTGTAAATAATTATATAGGCCACACTACAACATATTTGACACGCAGATTCACTCTACACCTTTCTGACAACAGCTCAATTACATCTCATTTAAATATTCATGGAGACTTACCGGGCACTATTCGTAACATACTTGCTGACAAAACAAATATAATAGCATCATCTACATGTAAAAAAAAAAAAGGCTAAAATAATGGAAGCCTTATTAATAAAAACAAAAAACAACAACACTTAATAATATTAACTTTGAACATTGACACAATATCTTGATCGTGTTTTGAAAAAGGAAAACATTTTATAAAACATAAATACAAGAAACTATTTCTTATATAACAGTTAAAATATTTCATCCTTGAAAGTGGCTAAATGTATAGCCGAAAGCGCTCGGATAAAAAGAACATTCGGACAGTTTTTATATAATTTATCATCTGAAAAGAAAAAAAATATTAGATCGCATGAGAAATTGTATAAAAAAAACTAAATCAAAGCACCTTCAGTGAAATGTGCATGAAAGAAGAATTTTTCCCTAAATACACACACACACACATATATATATATATATATATATATATAAGACAAACGGAAACCAATTTTCCAAGTAGAGTCGCTGTCACTGCCGAACTAAGTATTATTAAAGAGGTCTACCTGGCGAAAAGGTGACAAAGAAACTAGACTTGAAACTTGTTTTCTACTGTCGTGAGTTCGATCCTAATAAGGGCTGCAATATTTTTAATTTTGTAAGATATACAAGTAGCGTACTGTTTATGAGCATGGAAAAGGGAAAAATGGTTTCTTTTATTAATATTTTACACAATCTTACAAAATGTCGATCATTGAAATCTACAGCTTGTGTACGTGGTGGCACCAGGATAATAGAATCTGCTAGAGGGACCCTCTAAATACTTTGTCAAAATCTTGGATAACATTCTTAAAGTTTTTTTTTTTTTTTTTGGGGGGGGCAAGCATGTTTCAAGTATTCGTCCAAAATTAAGAGCGTTCAGGGTGACCTATCAACAGGAAAATGCCAAAAATTGTAGAAAATATTCATTAACTCATCCACGTGAACCATTGCAGGAAAATCTACATTATTTACCAGTGAATTATCTTTTTTTTTAAAAAAAAAAAAAATCCGACTCCCATAGATTTTCCACACCACCTTGAAAATACAGCATTTTTTAAAATTTTTTAAATGCTATATTCTTTCAGAATAATCTCCATTTTTTTTTTTTTTTTTTTTTTATTATCTGTGAATTTCTAGGATGCATTGGGAAAGATATTGGAGTAGTTTCTTTTGTATTCATTTTCCGAATGGCATTTCGTCCTGGGTATGACGATAAACTACATCCAGCAGCAAGATCTCTGATCGGGAGATTAGAAGTTTTGAGGAGCGTGGAACTACCGTTGAACTGCTGTCGTTCCCAGGTGTACCCTGACTCAGGGTGGTAGCAGCTGTTAGGGTCCAAGTTATGGGTAAATAGTACCCCCCCAAATCAACAGTACATTTGTATTGTAAAATGACCAACAATACATTTTGTTACCAAAATAAGAATCAATGCAATACTAAAAACATATAAAAATACAGTTTTATGGCAAAATTTCCAATAATAGATTTCATGATCCGCAAATTATATATCTAAAATAAAAACATACCTTTACTTTTTAATATAAAATTATGTACAAAATATCTATAGTTAAACGCATAACATTATATTTACATTTCGGCATTAAATAGCCCATAGAGGTGTTGATATGCCGCTAAACAAAATCAACCAACCGACCGTAGGGCGTTAGTAAAGATGAAAACAAACTCAGCGGGAAATTCGAACTCTCTTCGACAGTTTCACTTTTAGCACCAATACACGTTAAAGTACACGCATGTCAAATGCTACAATATTCCTTTCAAATTAGTAACTGACTTGGGAAATGACTGCTGCTCACAAAAGAAAAAAAAACCGTTGCACTTTAAGAGTCAGATGTGTCTCCACCAAAACTTTCCAAATATTTACACTAATTAAACCCTGGAGTCGTGAATGAGGCCCTTTAAGTATTTATCTATAGTTGTTATTTTCGTTTTTGTTTTTTTTGATTTTTTTTGTTTTTCACCCCAAGACTCAAAATAATTTGACAAACCAATTAAACGAATTTTGAAAACTAAATTTTCGCTGGGAAATAACACTAGTTATAATGCGTTAAACACATTCGCTGAAAATATTTGAAAAAAAAAAAATAACATATTAGAGACGAGATTATCTCTCCTGTCAAAATTAGTCGCTGATATGAAATTACCAATTATACTAAAAGGAAAAAAATGAAATGGTGACTAGGTTGTTTTGGTTAATTCTGAAGCTTTTTGAGGTGCATTGGTTTTGCCTTTGCTCGCCTGGTCCCTTTCCTTTTGCCTTTGCTCGCCTGGTCGCTTTCATTTACCTTGGCTCGCCTGGTCGCTTTCCTTTTGCCTTGGCTCGCCTGGTCGCTTTCCTTTTGCCTTGGCTCGCCTGGTCGCTTTCCTTTGCCTTGGCTCGCCTGGTCGCTTTCCTTTTGCCTTGGCTCTCGCCTGGTCCTTTCCTTTTGCCTTGGCTCGCCTGGTCGCTTTCCTTTTGCCTTGGCTCGCCTGGTCGCTTTCCTTTTGCCTTGGCTCGCCTGGTCGCTTTCCTTTTGCCTTGGCTCGCCTGGTTGTTTGAACAATAATGAAGTGCTAAACAATAAAATCAAAAAGCTTTCCGACACTTAGCATTTACTTTCCCGCTCTAGAATACCATATTCTGTATAATAGAAACAAATAGTCATGATTTTGTTAAGCCGATGTAATTGTGAGAAAAATAAATCAATGCTGAGTCGAATCATTTTAGCTTGAGATGAGGTACATTTTCTGACATCTGAAAGAAATATAACTAAATGAATGATTTTAAAGTTCAAATATTTATTGCAATCATGACAAGAAATTACGATTATTCGATTTTCGTGAATGCTTGGTCGATTTGTCCCGTTTTATGTTCCAGCATCAGTCAGCCATCATTTGTTGTCCCATCTTCCTTGCTGTGTATAGCGGGGTTAGATATAGATACTTGTAAGAAAATTACTGCAAGCACACTAGCATTTTGAAATGAACCTTGAAGCACTTGAATTAAGACAATAGAAAATTGACGATCGGGTCAAAGAAGTACACTGTAAAATATACGTAAGTGTAAAGTGAAGAATATTTACTGCTACCTTGTTTCTTTGTTTGTGTTTCTTTGTTTGTGTTATATAGGAATAAAGTGTCGCTGCCGACACTTGAGTTTGAACCTAGATCGCCAGTGAGCAAACACAGGCGATCCCATTACTGAATTAAGTGGATCACGTGACCATAGAGGAAATTCATATATAGGAAATCGCGTGACGTCTAGATTGATCTGCTTTCCTAGTCTGTGCTCTTTTACTATCACTATTTCTATTCTATCCTCTAGTACTATCAGTCAGCTATGTGTCGTGCGTGATACACGCTTAGGCGATCATGTATCTTTCGATACATGACTGACGAGGCAGATTTTTTTTCCCGCGGTAGGTGTACCATCCAAGGCTATAGAACCCGGTCTGGCAGAGGATATAGCTGGGGGGTGGAGAAGAGGATTTCCCCAAGGTTGGTTAGCGCGTAAGGAATGCAACGGATTTGACTGAATTGAACCGGCTTCCGATTCTTTCAATTCGAGCTGCGATATATTACCCCACCGCGCCTCCTGGTACTATTACTATAATTTCGACCGCTATTTCTACCTATTAGCTATAACATTTCTCTATTCTGATCACTATATAGATTACTATTCGAGCGAGTATTATCGTGCAAGTACTATTAGTGCGAATGTTATTCGACGGCATCTGACACCAGTATTGTTCAACGGCGATACTCTAGTTGTATCTACGATTACAAAGTTTCTACTACAACGAGCATTACGAAAGTGACAACGAGTATTCGATGACATTACAAAAGTTTGAGCTTCAAATAGATGAACCGGGACATTACAACATGGTTCTTGCAAATGACTGTGACGTCCGAAAGTATTTGAACAAAGTAACAGAACAAACATGAATTTTGGCCCGTTTGTTTCGATCCAAGTATACAATAATTTATTCGAAACCTGGAAAAATGCAGTTAAAAAAAAAAAGATTTTGTCTTCCAAATTTTAAAAATA